TTCAAACGAATGTTTTATTGTGAATATGAGATTGAGCTGAAGAATAATCAGGTAATCACACTCACTCAGTCCATCTCTTTCTCTTAATACTCTACATAATACAGTGACATTTTAATTGGCTACAATATTACAGTAAGCTTTCAATGAAGCATCTCAATGTTTCTTTGTTCTAGTTCTAAAGTGAGGTTTTCAAATTAGTAATGGAGGCTTGTCTCAGCTGTTAAACTGCAAAACTGAGATTTGAATCTGTGGCTGAAGGAAGAAGTTCTGCACAAAAGAGGGTTTTTAAGACAGTCCGTTGTTGTTGTTTCTTATGTATTTATTGGCTGTAGGCCATGTCACAAAGCTCAAATGATCATAAATGGATTTCTTGAACATAATAGTGTGTTCACTATACTGAAATGGGATGTGGTGGAACGGCATATTCACGTCATGGATGTGCAGCCTACAAATCTGCAGCAACTGTCTGATGCTATCTATCTATCAGCACTAGGCTATATAAGCACTATATACTATATAAGTTACAGCTGATTTCTTATAGAATGCTTTCACAAAAGGACCGTGGAGTTTGCAAAAGCCGGGGAGATATTTTAGTGAATTGTACGATTGATGCAGAAATCCAAAGTTCTGCGAACACATTATTTTACCATAAAACTTGGAATGACAGCACTGACGAGAAAAGTAATAAGCATAGCCATGCATAACCAAATATAATTATTTATTCTTAAAAAAAAAAGTCATTTGTAGAATTATAATATTAAATTTTTTTTTATTTCATATTGTTAAAGTATAATAATTCTGTGTATTTATAACTCAGTAACAATATTAATTCTGCATTAAAACTGGTTAAAGATTTAAAAAAAATAAAAAATTCTGTTTGTCTTCATGGTTTGGTAGTAAAGTGTTACACAAATTATTACAAATTATTATTTAATACCTCTGTGACTACATGACTGAACATGAAGCTTCTGAACCCAGAACAGATATACTGGTTTTTGGACCAATTGTGACTCCAGTTCCCAGGAATTTGACCTCCACCCCATCCACACCAGCAGATGCACCCGTGTCAAATCCAAGTCCCACTTTCACCCCAACTGGACCGGCTTTAGCTGATGCACTGGCAATTTCAGCTGGAGCCATTGCTCCGACTCCCACTGTACTGGCTTCAGCACCAACTGAGGCATTTGGACCTTTGGCTACAGCCTCAAATACACTGTATTCAGCACAAGCTCTTCCAACTCCTGCTTCTGCAAGGTATCCAGCCTTGGGAATCCTCTTTCCTGATTTGTTTTCAAAACCTGACGCATAAAAGCCTTGTTTAGCATAACCGCCTTCTGCATTGGCACCTGCTGGCCGGTCGTACGTGTCAATCATGCGTATGATGTCGCTTGAAGCATTAGATGTATCTTGCGCTCTTGACTTTTTTATGGGAGCCTCGACGATTTCATTTGTGCCAGCATTCTCTTCATCTGCAAATGAAACAGATGAGCTTCAATGCAGTGCAAATAGACATGGATGTTTAGAGAAACAACAAACTTTATATACATGTATGCCATTTTGCGCTGAACATTAGAACACTGTAAATGTGACGAGTTGGTTTTAGTGAACCTTGCAAGCTAATATTTCTGTATTTGTTGTGATTAAGTCTGAGATCTTCATAGTGTGTTAGTGAAGATATATTTTACATAATAAATAATATATTTTTAATTTAATAAAGACACATATTACACCTATTTCTTTGACCTTCAGCATTTGGGAATATTCAGAAACACATATAGGCTACTGTATAACAAACTACATTGAAAAAATGAAGAAGTACATAAATACACAAAATAAATTAACAGATAACACTAAAATGTAGAGTCTGTGCAAAGTCAGTGTTAGTAAATATAGACCAACTATTACAATACACTTTCGTCATCTCCATGGTGGAAATGTTTGGTAGCGGGTATATCGTAGTCTTCATCTGCAAATAAAACAAATGAGCTTTAATGCAGTGCAAATAGACACAGATGTGTAGAAAACAACAAGCTTTATATTAAAATGCACTTACCATTTCCACCATGTCCATGGTGGCTCAACTGTAGTTTTTTAGACATTTTAGTGTGTCACAAGTTCTCAATCTCAATAAGTCTTTGGTAGAGTGTCGTTGTGTCTCGGTCAGTGCCGCTGTTCCATATATATACTGTATGGGGCAGCAACTGAAAGTGAAAGCCAAAAACAAGAAGTCCTGCAGCAGGTTTAATTGGAACCCAAGTCCTTGATCACTTTCCATCCCATATGGAGCCCATTGTCACTTAAAAGAAATGTACAAACAGAAGTGGTGTATGATGAACACGTAAACTAGGACTTGTATTATTTGTTCCTGTTATTTATTAAAACTGAAGCCCTAGAGGATCACATCATATCTTGATCATCCCTTAAGACCCTGACAAAAAATCCAAAACACTCTTAAAAATTAAGATTCTTTATTTGCATCAATGGATCCATGAAGA